GTGGACGTCGATCGGACGGAGCGTGGTGCTCCCATAGCCGATTCGCAGCATCGTTGCCGATCGCTTGCATCACTGCCAAAAATTCCACAGGCCATGCATCCAAATCGAGCGAACGAACCCTAAACAAGTGTGGATAGAAGGAGCTAACGATACAATCCATTAAGACACAGAGCTTCAAGTATAGCCCATAAGCTTTTGAAATATTGAGCTCACCGTGAAATATGAGACCCAAGATTCCGATGAGTTCCAGAACACTCGATGCATATCAAAATGCCAAGATTGAGGCTTGCCCAATCAGGTGACGTTTGGCCGCAATCCGCACAACGGTCGTTGCCGGGCAGCTGGCGAAGGGCCAACACCTAAATTGTAAATATAGAATTGAATTATACGGAAGCGTACTCTTATGAATATTCAAAACATCAGATTCAAAAAACGAAATCGCGTAAAAGGCCAACCTCTTCCCTGTCGCCTCGGGCTCTTGTACTAGGCTTGCTCATCTGATTTTGGAGCGCTTTTTCGATTTGCTCCTCAATCGCTGCCACCCACGCGTCACGTTCATCAGCTGCCACGCAAAACTCCCATCGCTTCTGGTCAGAGGTGATGATCTGGAACCATAATGCATTAGGCTCAATTGCACACATGATAAGGTGAAATGATGTAAAGATGTTACTATGTACCCCTACGGCCCCTCCTCAAAAATGCAGAGTGGTTTTTTTTTATCAAAATTTTCCATGACTATGGATCCGTCTAAGAGATTGCATCTCCCTCCCCGTTCCCTGGTATTTTAATCAGCAAGAATATCGCACCAGGTTAGCGCGAGAACTGGCGTTCGCACCAGCGGCGCCTTCACTATCACATTTGGCACCGGCGCCTGTGGGGGTTGAACTACACCTGGGGGCACATATTTCGAGCCAAATTCACAGTCATAGACAAATTTCGATAAAAATCCGACTCAGTTTTCGAGGAGTGGGAAATAAGGGGTAGATACTGTCAAAAACTCTCTTGCATCGTTCATTCAAAGTGCGGAAAATCCAGAATGTGTAGATGTCAATCAAGGCTATTTCGGTGATGGCTAAAGGAAGAAGTAAGGGTGTAATTATAGTCTTCGTATTCACCTCAAAGCATTCATCATCCTCGTCGGTGGCTTTGCCAGCAGATCCAATCCGGCGATTACCACCTCGTCTCTTTTTCTGGCCTGGCCAGCAACGGTTTGAGGAGTCAGTTGAACGGCAGGGGACGCCTCCTTCGCATCGTCACTTCCTCCAGACGTACCTTCTCCCGAACCTCCAGCTCCTCCTTCAATAGGTAAAGTAGAACAATCAAGCCACCATTTCTTGAACAGCGAAACCATAAAACAATGGAGTTGAAAAATTGCTTACCAACGTCACTTTGAAGGGGCTCGTAACATCAGCAAGCAGGGCCACCTGAGTTCGTCGAGCTCGGCTCTTCCGATTGACTTGTCACCATGCCACGTTGAGTGTTTCGCGGACGTTGTCTACCGGCAATTCGAACAGTGGCGAGCCCAAGAAACACCTGAACCAACGCACTTGCAATAGGAAAGCGAAAAGAATTTAGCTTCAAGTAAATCAACAGCGACATGACTTTTTGATCACCTCTTTTCCGTGGCTGGGTTTGTCCCGATAGTCTTTTTGAGTGTGGTGATACGTCAATCGACCATCTCCATAAAGGCATACATACTTCTTTTTCCATTCCCTGAAACCATTATAATTATAGGTTGGCACAGTTGAGAGATCAATAAAAAACCTTTCCTACGTTCTCGCGACCTCAACTGTAACGCAGCTGAGATTAAAAATTCACATTCCAACCAGATTACAAAAGAAGTTAGATATTTGAGAGACAAATTAGTCGACCTGATAAAGTTTTTGGAGAGGACTCACGAGACCTTCATTTCAGAACCATGGAAAAACTTGATGACGTGCTCACTCCTACAAGGGGTTTGAAGGTCCCTACGATGTTCCAGTTTTTCAGGATAAGAAATTGAGGTCAAATCAAGCAAGTAAAGGTTAATCAATCGCCCTTGAAGTATTGAAAAATTTTGTTTCGCCACCTTAAATGCTCAGCGCAGATCATGTCCTTACAGAAGCGCGTTACAGCCCTATTCTAACGGCCTTATACCTTCAAAAGCAATTAACTACTGTTGCAAAAACCTTTATTGAGCAGAAATAGGAGAAGAAAATGACGCTGGCATAACTAATCAAACTGGAAAGACATGCTACGCGCGGCAAGTGTTATGATTAAGGGCATGCTATAGCGAAACCTAGCCGCAATGCAATTGGGCGCCTGTGATACAAACTTAGATTAGCACTCGTACCACCAGCACGATTTATACTTAAAGGCAGATGATACGATAGATTGGTCGCCAGTGGAAATGAAAGCAGAGGTGGCAAATAGTGCAAAGGTGAAAGAAAGCCCTACAAAAAACCTAAAACCCACGAAATATTTCCCCATTCTACCCGCTAATCTTCGTTTCGAACGGACTAGGAACCAAGACTGAGTTCGTTTGCACGCGCTATTCCTGATGGTCGACACCATACCAACAAATATCGTATTTTGACTGGTACTGCGTACATAGAGAAACGAACAGATACCGCCGCCTGGAGTAAAATGCTCTTTGAAATTAAAAGCAAACGATGATGATAACAGCGTTAGCATTTATCTTGTCTTTATTATCATTAGGCCGCTTCGGGATGGGGCTCTCACAAAGGTGGCGGTCACTACAGATAAGGTCCTGCTAGGACGCTATAGGCGCCGTTCTCATGGTACTTGAGGAGCTCGCCTCCCTTAACAGAAGGCAGATTTGCTCCTCCCGCTTTCAATTTCCATCTGCA